TCTTTCCACTGCACCACCTAGCTGCAAAGCTAGGATTTCACAAGGATGAAGTGGAATGATGATTGATGACGAGAACTTTTTTTAAAACCGTAAGATAGACTGCTGCCTACCAACCCTTCTCGATTAACACAGTTATCCATCGTCTGCCAGCCTAAAGTTAGATTGGTTGCTTAGAAAATAATATTCTTAATTCTTACCACATTTCTCACATCCTAAGTGATAGCAATGGCATTTTTTAAAATGATGCATTCATCCTAGCTTACGTGGCTGTCACTATGCACTTACTAAGCACGCTGCTTTCAGTGGCAGGGTCATCTTCAGGTAACTTATTTCAAATTCTTCCTTGGCATGAATCAGTTGGAGGCAAAAATGCTAAGGACAACATATGTTTGCCTTGTTGACAAGGGAACAAATGTAGATAAATATCAATTTTTGCTTTTAAGAGTGAGTCATAACATGTATAACATGACTCCTGTTTAGCATCGAACTTCAAAATATGTAATTATTTCACAATGTGTGACAGACACCCTAATTAGAGATGGTATAAAAGTTCTGTTACAGTTTTATTCAACGTAACTAAATATTCAAAGATAGCATTAATTATAAAATACTAAATATAAGTTCACTCAACAAACATTTATTAAATGTTTGCTAGACACTGAGTGCTAGAGATATAAAGAAAAAAATTAGTCCTTGCCCTCAGGGTACTTAAGTTCTAATTCAAGAGACAAGATATATAAATCAGTATATACAAGATGAATACAGAGAAGATGGAAAATGGCCTTAGAAAAGAAGTCATTAGGACCAGGAAAGATCTCTTAGAAGAGCTTGTGTTTCAGCTGAGTTTTAAAGGAGGCTGGAGATACTAAGAGGCAGAGGTGAGAAGGGAGACGTATAGGGAACATCTAGGACTAAGGCACAGAAATGAGAGATAGGGAATCCCATCAAGGGAACAGCAAGTGGGCCAATGTGGCTAGAAAAGACTGGAAAGAAAGACTGAGGCCAGTTGTGAAGAACTTTAAATGCCAGACAGAGATTATGTATCATGGAGGCAATAGGGAGTTTATCAACTAGGGACGTGATAAGGTCAGACTTGTGGTTGGGTAGCAGGGTGGAGATTGGAATGGAATGAGGACATTGAGACAAGGAGTCTAATTGAGTCTGTTGTAGCTAGATGGCACAGTGGATTAGCGTGCTAGCCCTGGAGTCAAGAAGACTCATCTTTAGTTCAAATCCAGCCTGAGATACTTACTAGCTGTGTGACCCTTGGCAAGTCATTTCACCCCATTTGCCTCAGTTTCCTCAACTGTTAAATGAGCTGGAGAAGGAAATGGCAAGCCATTCCAATATCTTTCCCAAGAAAACCCCAAATAAGGTCACGAAGAGTCAGACACAACTGAACAGCAACAACAACAAAAAAAAAAAAAACAGGACAAGAGATGAGAAGCACCTGGGCTGGAATAGTCTCTGTGGGAATGGAAAGACGGGAACATATACAAGAGATATTGTATAGATAGAAATAGCAAGATTAGGTAACTGATTAGATGTGTGGTCAGTGAAAAAAAAAAAAGGAATCACGGATGACACTGAAGTGATGAACCTGGGTGACTTGTGATACCTTCAGTAGTAAAAGAGGAGTTTGGGAGAGAGGTGATTGGGGTGGGGGTAGAGAATATGTCTTGGAGGTGTTCAGTTTCAGATGTAGAAGGAAACTGGTGATTCAGGACTGGACCCCAGAAGAGAGACTAAACTTGGATAAATAGATCTGGGAATCTTCTGTATAGTTATGATAACTGAACCCATGGCAAATGAGATCACCAAATGAAAGAATATAGAGAGAAAAGAAAAAAGTGTCCAGGACAGAGTCTTGAGGGGAATCCTCTGTAGGTGGGAATGACATGGATGAAGAACTAACAAAAAAAAATGAGGAGTGGTCAGACAAGTAGGAGGAGAACCGAGACAGCAGAGTCACAGAGACCCAGAGAGGAGGCAGTATCCAAGAAAAGAAGGTGGTTAACAATGTCAGATGCTGGGGCAGCTAGGTGGCGAAGTGGATAGAGCACTGGCCCTGAAGTCAGGAGGACCTGAGTTCAAATCTGGCCTCAGACCAAACACTTGACACTTACTAGCTGTGTGACCCTGGGCAAGTCACTTAACCCCAATTGCCTAAAAAGAAAAAAATACAATGTCAGATTTTACAAAGAGATCAAGAAAAGGCCATTATAATTGGCAATTAAGAGAGCATTGGCAACTTGAGAGGGGAAATTGGAAAGTGAAATTGTGTAAAATATTTCATATCATTTAATGCTTAATCTACTAAAACCTAAGCACATAACATTTGTCATTCTTGTTAAGTGCTTGGTGGTCCTCTGTAGACGAGTCTCTTCATCCATGTATTTCAGTGGAAAATAAAATGGATTGAGGCAGAAGATCTCTGCCCCTTCCTACTTCTCTGATCTTTGGGCATCTCTATGGACCTCAGTTCCCCCTTATAAGAATGAATGGAGTTGAATTAGATGATCTCTAAAGTTTCTTCAAGTTCTAAATCTGATTATATACATATATGCACATATATACATACATATATACATACATACATGCGTACCCTTCAGCTTCTCCTCTGCTAAAGAAGGCTAAAAATATGTGCCTCCCCCCTTAACTGTGGCACATGGAAGCCATTGATATAATGGAGTTAGTTGTCATGGTGACCAGAAAATAAACTTCTTACATTGGGAACATGGGTTAATTTTTCCAGATCACTGAGAGTATACTTGAGTTTAACTGGAATGGCAACCTGTCATTTGGGCCCTAGCGACCTGAAAAACATTCACCCCCCTCCAAAAGGGAAGTAATTTATCTCCAACAAGGCCATTTTCTGAAAAGTGTGTTGAAACAAGGCACTACATTCAATGAATTCAGTTCTAACCATCTGCCTTATAACATCCATGGGTTCTGATTCATTCTGAAGTACTTTACAAATCATAAATACATTTTCCATATTGCTCAAATGATTGTATTATCGGTATTTTCTGAGTTGATGTAGAGGGTACCTTTCTGGATGGAGAAGTTCGTTGGAAGTATGAATAGCATGTCAATTCTTTAGCTCCATTTTAGTTGGACTTTTTAGAATTTGTAGTCTTAAGATATGACAGCTCCAACTTAAACTATGTAGCACAGTCATTGGTGAGAGTGAGAATTGTTTTTTTCTGTAAGTCCTGACTATGTGATAGAGTTACTTGTACGGTTTTGAACTTATTTGCATCCTGATAGAGGACATCTGGGAATTATATATCCATATACTTCCCCTCCTTTTCCATCACTAATTAAAATCCTCCCCAGCTGTGCAGAGAAACAACTGTCTGATCACACCAGTGGTTTCTTAATAAGTGGACAGCAGCCCTAGATACCTTTTCCCCCTCTCAATGTAAATGGTTATTCTTACTCTTGGAACACAATGAAGGAGCTGGGAAAAAATTAGTTGATTAAATGTAGTTGTTCATGCATTTTATTTTTAATTTGTAGATTATCACCTGACTGTCTGGGCTGAATTAGCTTTTAATTGAATTGGTGCTGATAGGAGGAAGAAGCTAGAAAGGCTTTCTCATCTATTCTGATACATTTGTCAATTGTTTTCTCTTCCTCTTATTAAATATGATGATTAAAGACTATTGAAAGTCCTTAGGGGGGAAATCATGCCAGTATTTTCATATGTTTCACAGAATGAGGCTCTCATTTGTACACTTGTCAATTCTCTCAGAACGCCATGCAGAGAAACAAAGTAGTGGAGCAGAAAGAATCCTGGGCTGGGGGTCAGAAGACCTAAATTCTAGCTCCAAGATCCACCACTTACTCAATCTGTGATTTGAACAAAGCAGTTAAGATCTCAGAGCCTCTGTTTCCTCATCTCTTAAAATATAGCTTCTAACACCTGGCATATCTGTGCCACAGTGTTGTTATGAGGCTCTGAAAAAAACCAAATGGATTTGAAAACACTTTTTAAAAAAATAATAGGTGGGGGAGTTTAGATCTAGAACAGAAAGTGACCTTTAGGGTCATGTAGTCCAACCTTTTCTTTTTGTAGAAAGGAAAATCTAGGTGAAGTGATTTCCCTGAGTTCCCACAGATAATAAGCATTAGAGGTCCCATAACTCCTGAGACAGGATGCAAAATGCTGTACAAAAAACAATAAGTGGGATTACTATTTCACTCTTTCACCAGTGCTATATTTTATATTTGTGGATTGGAAAAAAAAAAGCAGAAAAAGAAAAACCACCTTGTCACCTGGTGACCAGTCTTCTTGGTCTTCTTTCCAAACTCAAATTTGTTCTTAGACATTGAGATCTTTCAAGCTTAGTAGGATCTACCAGAGAGCCTACACTCTATTTGGTGAAACCCAGAGAACCCAGTGTTACCTCCAAAGCATCAAAGTAGAACGTTGGTTAGGGAAAGTGGCATTAATATCATTGTTAACTACATTATCCCTAAGAGTAATATTTTTCAGGAACACCGCTGTGCTGAGAAGCTTCAGAAAAGTCTGCTTCGGTAGAGAAGAAAACAATACTTGGAAATGCGAAGCACCAGGAAGTCCAGGGAACTAGTCAAACATAGCAAAGGAGAGATCCTTCCCTCTCCTTCTCCAAAAAAAGGAGGGGGAAAACTGTTCAGAGGAATTTAGAAATGTCAACAAGTTTAAAACTGTTTCTACACTAAATAAATGAGAAGAATCTTGTTTAAGACCAGAACTATAGGAATACCAATGAAAAAAAAATATGGTGGTAGGGTAGAGGGGACATCATTGGAAATGGTAGCACCCCTCATGCTATTTCACTTAAATGTCACTTGCATTCCCATGGGGAAAGTTTGAGGATCTGGCCAAGGGCCATGGAGAGTCAACCTATATAAGTGTCCTTATCATAAAGCATATCAGAATGTATAGGCATCATTCTATACTTTATTTAGGTGGAAGGATCTTAACAATACTATTTATCTTCTGTTTGTAGGAATAGATAATCTCTATGAGAGGGCTCTTCACATCCATAAACTCCTCCTTACCTTGCCGAGATCAGTCCTTATTGTGATGAGGTACCTTTTTGCTTTCCTCAACCAGTAAGTATCTTTGAGGCTGTTGTGGAAATACTGCTATTTAACCATTTATTTGCTACATCTGAATTGTCTTGGCTGTCAGGTCCTCTTTAAAACTGACATTTTGGTTCTCTTCATCATAGGCAAATGTATTTTAATTGGCACAGTTGACAACTGGAAAAAAATGATTGAATTCAGACTGAAAGTATGTTTCTTCCTAGCAAATCATCATTAGTTTGAAAGCACCACCCCAACTTCTTCAGGAGCAGGCTTTGAGAGATAGTGAACAATAGAAGGGCTATGGTCCATGGAGTCACAAAGAGTCAGAAACAACTGAACAAATGAAGGACAGCAACCCCAAATGCAGAACCTGTGGCCATAAGTCCCCAAATAGCCTCATCTTCTTAAAAGGAACAAACCACAAAACTAAGCCAATATTAACTATTTTATGAAGGTTGTTTTTTAAGTCAGAATGAGCTAGGTACCTGTCTACTGTGGAAAGTTACTGTAATTCTAATGCTGTTGGAGGGAAAAAAAGGAAAAATAAAAGAGATGAGTGTTATGCTCTGAATTAAATGAGAAATTCTCTAAGCTCAGTAGAATGAGATACTGTAAAGGTTTAAATGCATTTCTAAAACATTTTTTCCATTATTAAATGGAATAGAAATATAAAAATCTAGTTTTGATTTTCAAAAGAACATTTTTTTTTCTATTTAGTCCATTTATCTTTCAGTTTTAAAAAGACAAAAAGGCTAGCTTTCTTATTTCCTAGTGCATATTCAGAACTTTAAAAGCATCTTGGCCAGGTCCTAGATAAGCTCCTTCCCCCTGCCCTACTCCCACTCCATGTTCTCCTGTCAGCATTTCAAGTAAGCAGTTGGAGCTAAAGAAATACAATGGATGTCGGGGGGGGGGGGGGGGAGTTCACCAATGATTTACTGAGTCAATTTGAGGAAATGCCTTTTCCTCTGTCAAGTGTAGATTGTCCATTTCTAAAATTAGGGCATTCTCTTCTCTCCACTTCCCTGGAGAGAGAAGGGAAGTTTGCAGATTGCTTTGAGCTCTCAAAAAAAATGCCAGGGCAATTGTGGACATGACCCCTTCTGAAAATTTCATGTGAAACCAGAGTGTCCATATAGATAGGAAGATGCTGGCATTCAATAAATATGTGTTTCAGTGAATTCATTTGATTTGAATAAAGAGAGAACCATGTGGCTAAAAATTCAGTGTCCACTCCTTTCCCAAAGCTTCAAACAGAAATGTCTGTTGGGGTCTATTCAGATCACAATTATTTTTAGGCACAATTGTAGTTTCATCTTTTTAAGTATATTAAATATATCACAGTGGTACGGAGACAGTAACAACATGATGGAAGACTATGGGTAGAGAAATTAGTCAGTCTTTCAATTTACTCTCTTAGATTCTTACTTGCATTTGCCCTCCATCCAAGAGAATAGCTACTAGCCTTTTCTCTCCCCATGAAATCCTGCCAAAATCACTGTGTTAATCTATGCAAAGCACTTTGCAAATATTAAGGCACTACATATGTGCCCACAAACATATGTACATACATGTATAAGATATACACGTAATATATACCTATTTGTCACATTTACTCACTGACTTTACACCACACACTGATTTTCTTGTCACCCCTTTCTCCAGTCCTTGAGCCCCGATGAAACCTAGGATCTATCTAATCAAGTGTATTCCACGTTAGCTCTGAAGATCCTTCCCTCATCCCCCACTCTCACAAATGGGTTGGGTCCCTAGAGCTGAGCTGGCTGCGTCTTCCCTCCAGGGTTCTAGAGATACCCCTTGAGGGGTCAGGGATGGTTCTCTGAGGCCATTGTTTCAAGCTCTCACTGGTATGCTTCTTTCCCACCCCACAACCCCAGCCAGTATTAACAGTTAAGAATCCAAGTAGTCAGCCAGCCTGAGTAACTTTCAGAAAGAGGTGTTTGCTAAGGCGGTACAGTAAGAAGTCGGCGTAAAACATTACCCCACCAAAATTTTAACCCTTCTTCCTTCAGGTACCAGCCCGTGTGCTAAGTGGGTACCTGACAGCTCTTAGCTACGAGAAGTCCTTTTCTCCCTCTCATGGGGTACTCAGTAATAAAAGTTAATATTTATATAGCGTCTACTGTGTGCCAGCCACTGTGCTAATATGCTAAATTACAAATATCTCATATGTTCCTCATAACAATCCTAGGAGGTGGGTACTGTTATTATCCGGAATTTATAGATGAAGAAACTGAGACAGAGATTAAATGACTTGCCCAGTGTCAGACAGATAGAAAACGCCTGAGGATGGATTTGAACTCAGGTCTTCCTGACTTCAGGAAGTTCACCTTAAATATAGTGGATTTGCATCTCTCTCTCCTTGGCTCCTGACACAGAATGTTCCTACCAGCTGATCCGGGACACATCTAAGACGCCAATGAGAAGGTGGGAGTTTCTACTGTAATAGAGGCAGGATGCTAGGTCACCAGTGGAAAGATGAGAGGCCCTGCATCTACCAGATCCTTAAGGATCTGCAAAGCCAGTGGGTCCTCTTCCACTCAGCGGGAGATGGAAAGGGGAAGGACGCCTAATCAAGGTGACCCCTTATCCTCACCTTGGCATTGCTGTTCCTTTGCAGGTGTTTCAACTAGAATTCCCTAGCATACCAGCTAACTCATAGATTTTATTCCGGATTCAGAGGATACAACAAAATATCACAGCCAGTTGAAACAGACCTCTTATCTGATAGAATTTTAGTTCATCAAATGGCTTTCAAGACTTTTCATACTTAGTCTATAATTCACTGGGTTTTTAAAATTTTTATTCATCTTATTTTTAATTTATGGAATAAAATGAGCATTTCCATAACATAGTATAATTTTTAAATTTTTTTTTTAGGCAGTTGGGGTTAAGTGACTTTCCCAGGGTCACACAGCTAGTAAGTGTCAAGTGTTTGGTCTGAGGCCGAATTTGAACTCGGGTCCTCCTGACTTCAGGGCCGGTGCTCTATCCATTGCGCCACCTAGCTGCCCCCAGCATGGTATAATTTTTAAAAGAAAATTGCACATGAAACTGCAAATGTATTTGTACAATTTGCTGTTCCTTTTTACTTTTAAATTATATAAATGTATAAACTTATGTAAATTTCTTTTTTTTTCTTTTTCCCTTCCACTACCCCACCCTAGGGGTGGCTATCATTAGACACAAATATAAATATATAAGCATATATATGTGTAGATATAGATATATAGATATATAAAACCATTCTACACATACTTCTATTTATCACTTCTTTCTCTGGATGCAGATAGCATCTTCTTTCATATGTCCTTTGTAGTTAATTTGGATATTTATAATGGTTAAAATGACTTAGTCACTCAAAATTGTTCTTAAAATAATATTATTCGATATTCATTGATTGATAGAGATGTTCTGACCCAGTGAGGTTATCAGAAGTGCTTTCAACCCCACCCTTCCACCGGCAAGTTAGTCATCAACTTGTTATTGGCCATTTCAGTTGTGTCTGACTCTTTGTGACCCCATTTAGGGGTTTTCTTGGCAAAGATACTAGAGTGGTTTGCCATTTCCTTTTCAAGCCCATTTTACAGATGAGGAACTGAGGCGTACAAGGTTAAGTGACTTGTCCAGAATCTCATAGCTAGTAAGTGTCTGAGGACAGATTTGAATCTGACTTCAGGTCCAGCGCTCTATCCATTGCACTAACTAGCTACCCCCAAGCATTAATTAAGTGCCAGGTGCTATGCTGCCTATAGGAGATGGAAATAATAAGAAGGAAACAACTGCTGCCCTCAGGGTGTTTACTTTCTATTGCTGGAAATGAACTTATCTGTTAATATGCCTGTCAAAAAAGATAATTTGGAATCAAATGGTATCCTTTCCTAACCTCCTAGTGAAAAGGCAGAGGTTGGAAGGAAATGGGCCTGAACACAAAGGGATCCTGCCTCTGCCCTCTGAAGAGACTGGCTTTGTTGTGCAATGTTTGTGTGGGGCTTTTGGAAAGAGCCCAAAGAAGAGGTGATTGCTAATTATTCATTTGATTTGTTAAAGAATGATAGGAAAACAACATTAAAACTTACTGTGCTGTAAAAGTACTGTGGTGTAATTTTAAAAACCAAAGTGAACATCACAAAATTTCACAGTTCCATCTACAGTTCTCCTTTTCAGTGCTTTGTATGTTGTAGAATATTTGTTGTGCATATGTTAGAAATCATTTTTTTTAATTTTCAAATGCTCACTTTTCAAACAGGCTTAATTTAAAAACTTGGAAAGATTAATCGCATGCCTCCTAATTCAAGTGTTTTCTGATAAGAAAATAAGGATGAAGGGATAGATACCTCTGTGTTTTACCCCAATTCTTTCTTCTCTCTTACCTTAGTCTCAAAATGAAAGGCTTAGACTAGAGAACCTCCAGGCTCTCTTCTAGCTCCAGGAACACCCCTGATGATTCGCTTATCTTCAATTCAGTTTCAACATTTATTAATGTTTGTGCAAAACACTGTGCTGGGCACTGAGGGAGAGAGATAGATAACCAAGATATGGCATCTACCTTCTAGGGGCTTACGGTCTGGTAGAGGAGCTAAGACATATACACAATTAACTATAATACAAAATAGAACTTGGTAAATATATCAGAAGATGAACAACTAAAAATGCTATGTGCATATTAAGTGCAATGACATTCCCATGAAAGAAAAACTCATTTGCAAATAAAGGGATCAGGGAAGGCTTCAAAGAGGCAGCATTTGAGATGTGTCTTAAAGGATTTCAACAGACAGAAATAGGGAAAAGGACATTTTTTTTTTAGTTAGGCAGTGGGGTTAAGTGACTTGCCCAGGGTCACACAGCTAGTAAGTGTTATGTGTCTGAGGTTGGATTTGAACTCAAATCCTCCTGAATCCAGGGGCAGTGCTCTATCCACTGCGCCACCTAGCTGCATTTCTAAAATATGTGTGAGGATATGAGGAAAGAGCTGGCCCAGTTCAAGTAACATGACTTTCCAGTGCTATATTATAGACTTTGTAAAGACTGAACTTAGGGGTTCTATATAACAGTTGTAGAAATTGTGCTTTTATCCCCCTTCTGTTTAACTAGATTGCATTTCAAGACATCACCCTTGCGATGTCATTGGTCCTTTTTGAGAAGGAAGAATGGATAACATCAACTAGACTACTTTATTTCACAAAAAGCGTATAAACAGCATGCATTATGGCGAGTCATTTTTGACTCTGACACAGCCTTCTTCTGGCAGTGTGTGTTCTCCCCGTCCCCCCTCCTTCCCTTCAGTTTGTCATCTTTTCATTCAATGCAGTTCAATCCAGCACCAGCATTTGTTAAGAACCTGTTTTATGGCAGGCATTGTGCTTTCATCTGGACTTTACGTTCTCTTTAGACTAGACATTATATAAGACACTAACATTGCTAAGATAAAAATAGTTTTCCTAATGTAGCTTCCTGCCCAATTTGAATGAAGAAAGAGGGAAGGTAACAGCAGGTGTCTTATAATCTTTATAAGTCCAATTATAATCATCACCTGGATAGTATAAGGGAGGATTCCTTCTCCTACCCCCCCCACACACCCACCCCCCTAGTACAATTGATGTGATAGCAGGGTAATGAGAAATTAATGTGTTAACAAGGTATTAACACCTACTGGTCACTTTATGGGATACAAACCAGTCCCTTGGGTGAATTAAAGGGAAACTCACTGGCTGAGCAAACAAATTAGACCCAACCCAGGGTCCAGCCCAGGGAAGTTCAAGGGGTCCAGGCTCTTTATGAGGTAGAGTCCTAAAGTGGAGGAGGAAGGGATTTCTCTCTCCTCCCCACCTCATTAGTCACGGATTCTAGCAGCAATTTGCCCAGAGGCAAACACCTCATTCAGCAGCTGGAGAAGAGTTCATTGGTTTGGAAGACCTCAAGATACAGTTGAGGGAGCAGAGACACACACGCACACACACACACAAACACAGTCTAAATAGACATGGCTCCAGAGAAGCAGTCGCTTGAGGGAGTCAGCATTATTGAGGAATGGGACCTCAGGTGGCAGAAAAGAAAGCTGTCCATGGAGAAGATTAGACCTTTGGAACCCAGCTTAACAACTTTCTTAGTAGAGATACTGTATATTGATAAGGGGAATTGTAAGAGGAATCTAAGAAGAATTTCCAAACTGGTATATCACAAATAGTTGTAAGATACCTTTGCTATAAATGCGATAAATATGTACTCTTGAGTTTAAGTCTTCTCTTCCCATGGATGCTGTGTTTATTTATGGGAGAGTATCTCTGATTAGTGAAGAATGTTTTGTAGCTGCCTTTACATTATGCCATCTTAGTAAAAGGCTTTGTTAAGAGCTAATTATATCTATTGGCTGTTCGTAGGAAGCGTATGGGGGGGGCTCATGAACTAAAGTGTTAGAACTAAAGTATAGAAGTTAGAAGAATAACCCAAAGGGTTATTCTTGAGCACAAGGTGCCGGCCGCCCTCTCTGCCAGTTTGAGTGCAGGTTGGGAAAAATAACCTAGAGGAGGTACTATAGTAACACAATCATGAATATTCATGTGACTGAGCTCTGTAATTAAAACAAGTCAACTAGGGATTTCCCAAAAACATGCAGCTCACAATCCATGGATGAGATGGGAGAATGGGATTTATTCTTCTTAAAAAATCTGTTGCAGAGGTGGAAGAGAATATTTGTGCTCCTTTGATGTGTATGATATGATGGAGGTTGAGGGACTATTGCTTAGCTTTGGAGACCAAGCTTTGAAGTCTCTTATATTGATTTTAGATTCCAAGCGTTGTTCATTTGCTCCCTCTCAAGTGGCAAGGAAAGAAACTGTCTTTCCCACTAGTGTTTCTTAACACTTTCTAGCAAGAAATAAATCTGAAAAAAAAAGTTGGGAGGGAGGAGGGGTTTTAGAGATCTAAACACAGCAGCCTTGTAGGGTTTCTTTCTGTTCCTCCCAGATGTATCTGCTTGACATTTAATGGCTGATTGTTTACTTTGTGTCTTACAGATGGAACTCTGTTCATTTCATCCTAGTTCCCAATTGTACTGAGAACCATAATAAATTCTCTTCCCTGCCTTCCAAGAATGCTACTTAATAAAGCAAGCTGAATATACAATTCTCTTTCAGCTGCTACTCAATACAAGTTACAGCTATCTTTGTTTTCAGTTGAACTACTGTAGGGAAGATAGAGGGCCATAATTCATAATTGATCATCAAAGGGTTTATGCCTTAATTCTCAGAATTTCAGTATTTTTAAACATCACTGAATTTTCTATTTCTTAAAAAAAAAAATCTGTTTACAGTTGCTTGTGTTTCCTTCCCTAGCCTCTCACAGTACAGCGATGAGAACATGATGGACCCCTATAACCTGGCCATTTGTTTTGGGCCAACACTAATGCCTGTTCCAGAAATACAGGACCAGGTGTCTTGCCAGGCTCACGTGAATGAAATCATCAAAACTATCATCATCCACCATGAGATCATTTTCCCAGATGCTAAAGAACTAGATGGCCCAGTTTATGAGAAGTGCATGGCTGGAGGCGACTACTGGTAAGTAAGAGGGATTTAAGGCAGGAAAGAACCAGGCAAGGACCTCGTACCACAAAATTCTTACACTTCTCAAAATAATAGCAATGATAATAGCCACCATTTATATAACACTATAAAGTTGGCAAAGCACGCTACAAATATTTTCTCATTTTGTCCTCACAACAACCCTGGGAGGTAGGTGCGATTATTATCCCCATTTTATAGATGAGGAAACTGAGGCAAACAGAAGTTAAGTAACTTGCCCAGCTAGTAAGTGTCAGAGTCTGGGATTGAACTTATCTTTCTAACATTATATTCACTGCACCACCTAGTTACGTCAAAAGAATACAACCCCATAAAATTTAGAAAACAGGTAAATTTTAGTAGGACTGAAATGATTACTAGAAACTGGCTTGTTACCAGGGAAACTCCAACCTCAACTAGGGGTTTATCACCTCATCTAGACCTTAAACATTTTTTTTCTTGTAGTCAGATTTGGGGAAGGGTAATTTTTTTGGTCATTTATATTTGTACTGTACTAATATCAAGTGAAAATGGCTTGGGGCAGCTAGGTGGCGCAGTAGATAGAGCACCGACCCTGAAGTCAGGAGGACCTGAGTTCAAATCCGGCCTCAGACCAAACACTTGACACTTACTAGCTGTGTGAGCCTGGGCAAGTCACTTAACCCCAGTTGCCTTTAAAAAAAAAAAAAGGGCTGGAAATTTCACCCAGATACATCTGGTTCCTCTCAAGTGACTAATGAAGTTATCATTGTCCTCCTTCCATATCCTTTACCAGGTAGTTATGATTCTACCCAGTATCATGTATATAAAGCACTTAGAGCTTCTGAAAATAAAGAAATTATATAAGCCTCTTTTTTTTACTCTTACCAGTTCACAGCTCTAATAAGTAGGAGCCTAACCTAAGATTTTAAGATAGGACGTAAATAAATCCTCCACTAGAACATACCCACCAACTACTCAAGCAATTTCTCCAAGACCCCTCCCTCCCCCAGTGAGGGGGGAAACTCATCAGTTCCTGAGGTAGCTAATTCCACTCTAGGAGAACGCTCATTGTTAGGGAGCTCTTTCCTGACATCAAGCTGAAATTTGCCTGTGTGGAGCATGTACCATTCCTTGTTCTGTCATGTGGAGCCAGACAGAACAAGTCTGATCCCTGTTCTATGCAACAGCCTTGCAAAAACTGGAACCTTGGCATAGAAATTGTTCTGATCATCAGAAAAATATAATCAGCTCCTAATTATCCATACTCCTGAAGGGGAGAAATAGTGTCAGTTTCCCAAAAAAGCCTCCAAATCCTTTATGTTTGACTTTGCAATATTTTTGTGCTTACATTTGATGTGTGTCTGATGTTCAAAACATATGAGTCCACCCTACTGTGACAATCCTCCTCATGAGAAACTAGAAAACCATCCCAGGGGTGGGTCCTTGTGTGGAACTTTTGACTGAGTCCAAAGTTTTACAGAACAAATCCCTTTATTAACAGGATTTGTTCTAGGTCCTTAGGTATGGCCTTTTGACTGAATCCAAGTTTTATAGAACAAATCCTATTATTAAGAGGATTTGTTCTGTGAAGTTTGGATTCAGTCAAAGGGCCACACTTGAGGACCTAGAGGGCTACATGTGGCCTCAAGACTGCATGTTCCCCATCCCTATAACCCATCTAGACCCCTTGCCCCTTTACTGTTCCTTGCCCCTTTATCAGGAATAAATAGGATCGCATCTCGGTGCTAGTACCAGGCCAAGCATTAGGCTAAAGCTTGTCCTTATAACTTAATTTTATTCCTGCAGTAGGATACAGAGGTCCTTGTTTTGGTTTGGTAGAGATTCTCTTTCACCTCCTTCTAAGTTAGATGTAAACAATGGAAAAATAAGTGATAATAGTAAGTAATATGTTGACAATTACTTTTATTTTTTGTCAAAACAATTGGGGTTAAGTGACTTGCCCAGAGTCACACGGCTAATATAATATGTCTCAAGTGTCTGGTCTGAGACTAGATTTGAAATAACATGTTGTCATGTGGTGCTTCTAATCTCATTTCCATTAAGTGGAACAACTCTGTCTAAGGTCTCCTGCACAGTTTATCAGATAGCCTGTTAACCAAGATTTGTTGGTCTTTTTTAGGTCTAATCTAGTAAATTTTCAACACCTATTTTCTAAAATATACTTAAACCTCATTATAAAATGCTTTGCAATTCAGTTATAACATGGGTTTTCATATCATCTTTCTTAAAATATATTTTCCCCAATTTAAACAATTTTAAACATTTTTAACAATTGTTAAAACTGTTTAACATTTTTTTTTAATTTTGAGTTCCAAAAATTCTGTCCCTCCCTCCCCGAGATGATACATAGTTCTATGGGTGAGATCTCTCTTCACCTCACCAGAAAGTCACAGATATCATAGTTCTCCTCTCTACTGAGGCTAACATTATGAATTATGAATGTCCTTGCATTGTGTCCTTTGGTTTAAAGTCTCATTTGCTCATTCCTTATATATCTGCTCCCTGTGGCTTCCTAATGATTTCCATTTCTGTCCCACAGTGACAGCCCATATAGTGAGCATGGTACTTTGGAAGAAGTTGATCAGGATGCTGGTACAGAGCCCCACACCAGTGAAGATGGTATGCCTTATCACATCATGTTGTTAAAATACTATTCTGTGTGTTTTTAGATCAGATAAATTCACATTTTCAGAACTTACAGTGAATCTAATTTGCAAGTTGTCATTGCAAGTGACATAACAATGTTCCCCTTTCAGTGGAATTGCCTTTTTTCCAAGCCCCGCCAACCCCCAACCCTTATCTACTTTCTTTTATCTTGTATTGCTTTGTTTCTTTCTCTGGATGGTTTATTTTTAAACTAGAGGCTTCCGCAAGGGTTTCCTCACTATCCCCAGAAAAATGTAGAATCAAAGCAAAGTTAATGCTAGGTATCAGTACAAATATCTGACTGACCCAGTAGGCCATTTGTCAGCTGTTCTTATTTGTCATGTACAAGATAACTGGCCTACAGAGGCCATTGCATTTTAAATGAGCACTCTGACTATAGTGGATCAAAAAAAAAAATGAGGGGTGTGTCCCACTGAAGCTGTGCCAAAGCCTAATTAAATTAACAGAAGTATTGCAGGTGTCTTTGTATGTTGCATCTTCTGCAGTGTGATGACTTACAAGAGTGGCTTTTGTTACAAAAGCCAGATCACTGATTTGTCTCTGTATCAGTCTCCCAGGAAAAGAGATAACAGATCAGGTTGTGAAAAGATAAAACGATGTTGAAGCCTTAAAGGGAAAATTTGGTGTATTTGACATCTGGATTAAGTGATGGGTAATGGAAACATGGGACATGACACCAGTACCCCGACAGATGGCCAGCTTTGCTAACTTTTCTTCTCCCTGGGACAAAAAAAAAAAAAAAGAAGATGGTTATTCAGGAAGATGAGGCCACTACCCCTCTTTTCTTATTCAGTCATTCAACAGAATCTCATCTGAGATCTCCAAAGAGCCACTGTGCTTGTGTGAATATTGTCTTTGCTTGGGATTGCTCTGTCTTATTAAAGATGTGGGGAAATAGCTTATTGATTGATCTAAAGAGACCCAGGTGGTTCCTAGAGGAAAACAGGGAGGCCAAAGGGAGGAATTTCTTTAACCTAGTAGCTGATTGGCCAGAAAGGCAAATGTATTATTAATTCACCTGGCTGGTCTTTTATTACCTAGTTATTCTTCTATAAACTATATTTGGATGAAATAAACAGACCAATCTCTCTCGTTGAAGTTTTCATGGAGGAAGAGATTACTATGGTCTGAAATCAGTTGACCTAAATTCAGAATTCAGTCATGCTACTTTGTTACTCTTATGTGACCTTGAGCAAATCAGTGCATGTCTCTGGGACTCAGTTTCCTCATTTGTAAAATATTAAGCACTTACTAGGTGCTGAGTTGGACTGCGTGGCCTCTGAGGACTGTTTTAGCTCTTAACCCATTCTCTGATCTTATGAGTATAAACCACGTTAGTATAAAATTATATTGTCACATGACAATATGACATAAAGGTATATTTTATAATTAGAACTATAAACAGGACTTTTTGTGCCTGGAGCACCTGCTATGCACCCAAGGAGAGGAAGCCTACTAGGGGGCTTAGCAACTGCTGTTGTTGGGGAAGTGGAGGGAGGGAAAGGACCAGGGGCCAGTGTGAAGCCATGGGAGGAAAGATGTGCACCCTGAACAATGTTATTACTATCCTCTAAATTTTTGTTCCCTAGAAGAATACCCCATGACTGAAACGACCAAACAACAAAAGTCCCAGCACCTAACAGGAGTGGACGCTCAGGAAATATTTGTTGAATTGAGTATAATAAACTGTAAGATTCCGGTATCAAACCAGCCAAGTTCCTTAGGCTTGTATAAAAGTCTCAAAGCAGATTTGGTCCTTTTCTTTGGCTCTTTAGATCAGAAGTTCTTAACCTGGAGTCCACAAACTTTTTAAAAAATATTTTGATAACTGTATTGGTTTTCCTTTACAATCCTATGTATTTTATTTTACGCATTTAAAAACAGTATTCTGAGAAGGAATCTATAGCTTCACCAGACTGCCAAAGGGGGCCATCACCAAAAAAAAGATTAAGAATGCCTGTTTTAGATGAAGAGCTATAATCATTATTTTTTTTTTTGCAATTGGGGTTAGGTGACTTGCCCAGGGTCACAAAGCTAGTAAATGTCAAGTGTTTGGTTTCAGGCAGGATTTGAACTCAGGTCCTCCCGACTTCAGGGCCGGTGCTGTATCCACTGCGCCACCTAGCTGCCCCTTCATTATATTTTTATAAGCAGTTATTGGGGCTGTAGGCAGGTACAGGGGTGAGGTTGTTGGAAAGTCACTCGTGTCAATGGTGAATTAAAAGTACAGTCGATTCTTGTCATTTGCAGTAGTTATGTTATATAAAGATGCCATGAACACTGAATTAACAAGTACTAAACCATTGCTCCTAGAAGTACAGGGTTAGGCTGCAGTGAGCTTCTTTTACTTTTACAGTTACTTTAGCACATTGAAGTCATTGCCAGTAGTGCTATAACCTGTGCCTGAACAAAACTTGTCTAGCACATATTTTCTCTGTAATGGACATTGTAGCCTTCTCGTGCTTAGGAACACTAGACAGAATGTCAGCACTGTGCTCGGGGACCATTTTAAACAGTGAAATCTTTAACAAAAAACACAAAAAGTTGGCACTGAAGAAGCCACGAAAAGGACACTTGTTCCACAGAAAGAACGCTTGTTTACAGTATGAGAGCTAAAACAAGAAAGCAGAGTATCCCTGCAATCACCTTCAGCCCGGGAACGTGCATGTCAAGGTGACTCATTCTCCCTCACTCTGCATTTGTTCATGAATATGACTGCCAGTGTTGATTTTAGGGTTACCAATAAATTTTAAAGGTGGAATCAGCAAATAATAAGGACTGACTGTACGTAAGGGGGGAAAGAAAAAAGCAAATAACTATCTTGTAAAATCTTTAGATCATGTGTCAAAGGCAGGATTCTACATCCTAAGAACCTGGTCTGCTTTGAGACTTTCAGCTAAGAATTAGGCCTTGGTTGGTCTGATATCAGAGTCTTACAATTTATCCTGTGCAGTTCAACAAACATTTCCTAATTTTTGTCCTTGAACTATGTTTTCATAGTAATGATCAAACATAAGATGTTCTTCCATTCTCACCCTTGCTGGGTTTTTTGACATTGGAGTTTTTTGGTTCCACCTTGAAAGAATTTCTGGCATGGAAACTCCCTCTACAAGTGGAGATGGATCAGTGAGGGTTTACTCTTTGTCCACTTGTCACCCACCTCTCACCTGTGACTCCAAGAGGCTGTAGCATGCTTGTGAGAAAATCTTCTTGGCAGTCAGGTCAAAACCAGGTTGAGGGTAACCTATAGGCCTCAAACCTGTCAGTGAGTTAAAGAGATGACTACTCCAAAGATGTGAAGACTTCCCCCTACAGAATAGACAGATGAAAACAATTTGTTCCAACAGCCATGGTGGCTAAAGCAGGCACCATGAAGCACTTAGGGCCTAGTAAAACATTGAAAACGCCAAGGTCATCCACTGCATCCTGGATCATAACCTTTGGCTTTTGTCTTCCAACTGGATTTCAGTGACTCAGGAAAAGAGAGTAAGGCTGATGGCTTTGTGCAGTTCTGCCTCACTTAAATCCAGCTCATGAGTAACTCAAGACATCACCTGTGATATCATTGGCCTTCAAAAATAAAGGATGAACAACAACTATTTGTCCACTATGTGCCAGACGCTGTCTATAAGTTAAAATCTTAAAGAGTTATGTGGAATCCTGAGAAGTTGAGCGATTTATCCAAGATCACCTAGCTAGTACAAGTCAGAGGCAAGATCTGAATCCAGGGCTCCAAGGCTTTATCTACTATACCACACTGACTGTCTTAGCACTTGTTTTATAAAAAAAGTTCATAGTGGTGGTGTTGAAAAAAATAGGGTCATAATGTGGGTGTCTTCTCAGAAACCCAAGAAGGTAGATGAAATATCTATGTTTCTCTGGAAATTGCCACGATCTAAAAATTGTACTGAAGGGCTGAAGGACTGAATTAGTTTTTGGGTTTTTTTTAAATTATTTCATCTGTAAGGGAGTTTAAAAACCCTAATCATTCTTCCCTAAGTCATCAACATGAAATATTATTTAGTTAATAGGCTCTGAAATGAGACCTTTTTTCCTTTCTACATTTGAGATATGTAGCTATAATTAAAACAGACCTTATGATGAAGCATGAGTATTTTTTTCTAGCATGTCTGCAATCCCAAGATCATTCCTCTAATTCTTCAGACACGGGTTGGAATTTGTCAATGGATGATCAACCTAAGTTAAACTTCCTAGCCTAAAAATGACTTCTGAAATTATTCTGTGTCTTCAGAGACCATATTATAACCTAGTTTTTGTTTTATGTTTTGTTTTGTTTTTAATTGCCAAGAGCTGCTTCCAAGGGAAACATGAAAGCATTTCTCAGGAAATCTGAGACAGATGGCTTAAGTTGTGGTGTGTGTACCTATGTATTCTTCCAGCAGATTTGGAAATGAACTTACACTTACTTTAACAAGTTTGGCTTTGATCGTTGTTCAGGAACAACCTGCAAAAAACCTAATCCCATCCCTACCCCCTTTGCCCTCTTGGATTCCTATTTAAATATTTGCTTGCATCCATAGAAGCAAGAGAAACTGTAAATTGGAAGAACATAAGGTCTGAGTTTTGCAATGAACCAAGTCTCAAAGAATTTTTCTTGGCCTTTTTTTTTTTTTAACATTTAGGAATTTGGGGTTTGAGGTTGTTGGGTATAATTATCAAGGACCAGGGATCCGCTACCAAAAAGTGCCAGAGTTTGGGGTGAGTGCAGAACTTACATTTCTAATCAAGATTTTTAGTTCGGGGAAATAGGGATAACAAAGTCATGTTTTAGTGTTAATAGGGATAGAAAAAACAGATTTTGCATTTGCTGTTAAAGTCAGAATATCAGTTTTAGCCAATAAAAGTATGTAAGGAAACTGAATAGATTCAAGTTTCTTATTATTGTAGATGCTTTTTTATAACCTTGATTTGTAATCTAAGAGATTATGAAC